GTGAATAAATTTTTTTTAGACAATAGGAGTTGGAACACATTATTATTATGGTCAGGCAATCATATTAAGACCATAAAATAAATACCCTAAAAAATCCCTGGAGTTACACTTTAAGAGGACCCTACACCACTGCATGAAGATAAAGGCTCACAGTGTAAATGTAACCTGTAATAATGTCCTCCCTTACTCTCATTAGAGGGTATTTCTGATGAGGGAGTAACTGGTTCTTCCATACATAAGGTCTCTGCTTCTTCACTTCATCTCTGTACATTATATGACCTTGATAACAATACACCACCTGAACAGGGAGTAATAATAAATAATAATAATAATAATGATAATAATAAATAAATACAATAGTAATAGAGTGACTGACTATGTCTCCCACTTGAGGGTAATATGGTGATACTTGAGGTGAGTTCATCTTCACTCTTCAGCCAGTCAGTCGGCCAATAGATACTGTAATCAAACCCTTTCCTAACCTGGAGGAGGAGAGAGGGAGGGAACATGTCAACAAAATGAAATACATGTACAGTGTACAGATACAGGTACATACATGTACATGATGTAAACTAAAAACTATACACCGGTTCTGCTATAAATTAAAACATTAAACTAAACCTTAATATTCACAAACAATTTCAATATCAAAGTTTTGAACTATATGTATACATAATCATGTCAAATTCCTTCCCATTACTTTTTTGACAGTGTGTTTAGCCTCCATTGGTTTAGTATCATTATTAGCAGTAGTACTGCTGGTATTGGTTGATGATGATAGTAACACTCCTGATCTAACTGTCCTCCTAACCCTACCCCCTCCTCCTCCCCCTCTATCTCTCAGTCTCTCCTCTTCATCAATAGTCACTTCTGATGGGATCTCTGATACTGTAGACTCTCTAAAGGGGTGGGGAAATGGGAGGGGTCAGGAAAAGGGAAGCGGCAGAATGAAAGAAATCATTAATAACAATTGACAATGTAGAAAAGTCGCTAGAGTAGGAAATTATCACAAAATGCCTGTATACATGTCCATTGTACCTTCTCCTGTTCTTTCTTGTTCTGTTGTTGGAGAGTGATGGATTATAAGGAGCTGCTTCATTGGCCCAATCTGATATATCACTGGAGGCAGTACTGCAGGACATATCAATGAGAGGAATAAAGAGAGAAATAGAAATACATATACACATGTACAATTACATCTACTAATGCTAATAGCACCATAAAAATACCCAAGGCTATAGCCCATAGTTTTTTTCAAAGAATGGCCAAAAAATCATCCCAAATTTTTATTACATTTTCTGATACATATTGATGTTCTTAAACTGTGTAGAAAGTTTGAGCTGATTCCGACTTTAAATTTTCAAGTTACGGCCATTTTAAGAAAATGCCAAAAATTCTGAAAAATACCCAAGGCTATAGCCCATGGTTTTTTCTGAAAAATGGCTCCGAAATCACCCAATATTTTTATTACGTTTCCTGATACATATTGATGTTCTTAAACTGTGTAGAAAGTTTGAGCTGATTCCGACTTCAAATTTTCAACTTACAGCCATTTTAAGAAAATGCCAAAATTCTAAAAAATACCCAAGGCTGTAGCCCATGGTTTTTTCAAAAAAATGGCTCCAAAATCATCTCAAATTTTTATTACATTTTCTGATACATAATGATGTTCTTAAACTGTGTAGAAAGTTTGAGCTGATTCCGACATCAAATTTTCAAGTTAGGGCCATTTTAAGAAAATGCCAAAATTCTAAAAAATACCCAAGGCTATAGCCCATGGTTTTTTCTGAAAAATGGCTCCGAAATCACCCAATATTTTTATTACGTTTCCTGATACATATTGATGTTCTTAAACTCTGTAGAAAGTTTGAGCTGATTCCGACTTCAAATTTTCAACTTACAGCCATTTTAAGAAAATGCCAAAATTCTAAAAAATACCCAAGGCTGTAGCCCATGGTTTTTTCAAAAAAATGGCTCCAAAATCATCTCAAATTTTTATTACATTTTCTGATACATAATGATGTTCTTAAACTGTGTAGAAAGTTTGAGCTGATTCCGACATCAAATTTTCAAGTTAGGGCCATTTTAAGAAAATGCCAAAAATTCTGAAAAATACCCAAGGATAGCCCATGGTTTTTTCAAAAAAATGGCTCCAAAATCATCTCAAATTTTTATTACATTTTCTGATACATGATGATGTTCTTAAACTGTGTAGAAAGTTTGAGCTGATTCCGACATCAAATTTTCAAGTTAGGGCCATTTTAAGAAAATGCCAAAAATTCTGAAAAATACCCAAGGATAGCCCATGGTTTTTTCAAAAAAATGGCTCCAAAATCACCCCAAATTTTTATTACATTTTCTGATACATGATGATGTTCTTAAACTGTGTAGAAAGTTTGAGCTGATTCCGACATCAAATTTTCAAGTTAGGGCCATTTTAAGAAAATGCCAAAAATTCTAAAAAATACCCAAGGCTGTAGCCCATGGTTTTTTCAAAAAAATGGCTCCAAAATCATCTCAAATTTTTATTACATTTTCTGATACATATTGATGTTCTTAAACTGTGTAGAAAGTTTGAGCTGATTCCGACTTCAAATTTTCAAGTTAGGGCCATTTTAAGAAAATGCCAAAAATTCTGAAAAATACCCAAGGCTATAGCCCATGGTTTTTTCTGAAAAATGGCTCCGAAATCACCCAATATTTTTATTACGTTTCCTGATACATATTGATGTTCTTAAACTGTGTAGAAAGTTTGAGCTGATTCCGACTTCAAATTTTCAACTTACAGCCATTTTAAGAAAATGCCAAAATTCTAAAAAATACCCAAGGCTGTAGCCCATGGTTTTTTCAAAAAAATGGCTCCAAAATCATCTCAAATTTTTATTACATTTTCTGATACATAATGATGTTCTTAAACTGTGTAGAAAGTTTGAGCTGATTCCGACATCAAATTTTCAAGTTAGGGCCATTTTAAGAAAATGCCAAAAATTCTGAAAAATACCCAAGGCTATAGCCCATGGTTTTTTCAAAAAAATGGCTCCAAAATCATCTCAAATTTTTATTACATTTTCTGATACATAATGATGTTCTTAAACTGTGTAGAAAGTTTGAGCTGATTCCGACATCAAATTTTCAAGTTAGGGCCATTTTAAGAAAATGCCAAAAATTCTGAAAAATACCCAAGGATAGCCCATGGTTTTTTCAAAAAAATGGCTCCAAAATCATCTCAAATTTTTATTACATTTTCTGATACATAATGATGTTCTTAAACTGTGTAGAAAGTTTGAGCTGATTCCGACATCAAATTTTCAAGTTAGGGCCATTTTAAGAAAATGCCAAAAATTCTGAAAAATACCCAAGGATAGCCCATGGTTTTTTCAAAAAAATGGCTCCAAAATCACCCCAAATTTTTATTACATTTTCTGATACATGATGATGTTCTTAAACTGTGTAGAAAGTTTGAGCTGATTCCGACATCAAATTTTCAAGTTAGGGCCATTTTAAGAAAATGCCAAAAATTCTGAAAAATACCCAAGGATAGCCC